ATTGGACAAATTATATTATTTCTACACCAGTTCCTGTGTTTGTATTTGCTAAACCAACAGGTGAAATTCAACAAAATGGTATTAATATTGCAGCAGATTTAGAAAAAATTATTTTAACTTATAATTCAGAAAAAGTTTTAGCAATTATAACAGATAATGCATCTGTTATGAAAAAAGCATGAAAAATTTTAGAGAAAAAGTATCCAAAAATTATTTTTATGGGTTGTTTAGCACATAATATTAACTTACTTGTTCATGATATTATTAAATTAGATTGGGCACAAGAAATATTATCAAATGCAATATTAATAGTAAAATATTTTAAAAATCATATAATTCCTGCAGCAATTTTAAAAAAATATCAAGAAAATAAATATGGATCAAATTATAAAACTCTTAAATTACCTGGTGAAACAAGATGGAGCTCATCAGCAAATTGTTTAAATTCAATTAAATGTAATCAATTAGCAATTAGTTTAGCTATTACTGAATTAATTAACCATCCAACTGCTTCTGTTGATTTAGATATTAAAAAAATTATTCAAGATGATGAATTTTGGAATGAAGTTCAAAATTTATTAGTTATTTTAAAAGTTTTAGCAAGTGGAATTACAATTTTTGAAGGAAATACTTCATATTTATCCCAGTTTTATAAATGGTATAAAAATCTTGAAAATAATAAATGTAAATATTAAAGTTTTTTAGTATAAATAAATATATACTTATTAGAATCTTATATAGTATAGCTAGGCAATATAAAAATATTATAAGAATATAATATAAAAAAACTTTAACCTTAATTCTAGCTCTAATTTGCTTAAATTAGGTTAAATAGTTATTTAATTATATTATAATCTTATAATAATTCTATTGCCTAGTTATATTAAAAATTAATTAATTATTATATAAATTATAGTATAATTTAAATAACTAATTTTTAATATTATAATTTTATAATAGTATATATTTTATTTATACTAAAAATCAATTTTATATTAATTTTTATTTAATTTAAATTTTTATAATATATATTAAAACTAATTATTTTATTATATAAAAATTTTATTTATAGGTTTAACAAATAGTAGTGTTTTTGTAGATATTCATGATATTATTTTAAAAAGATGGAATAGTATGTATAATCCTGTAATTGAAATAGCATATCTTATTGATTCTAGATTTCAAGGAAGAACTTTAGCTAATAATATTATGACAACAGTATCTAATTTTGTTAAAAAATATTATCTGGAAAATTGTACTAAAATTTATAGTCAATTATTAGAATATTTAAATCATTCAGGACCATTTAATAATACTATGGCATGGGAATCAGTTAATAGTGTTGATCAAATAACATGGTGGTCTGGAAATTTTTCAAATTCAGCTCCTGAACTTGTTCAATTTGCAAAAAGAATTTTAACAATACCAACATCATCTGCAGCAGCAGAGCGTAATTGGTCTAATTTTAGTTATATACATTCAAAAAAAAGAAATAGACTTAAACCATCAAATGTTTTTAAACTAGTTTATATATTTAGTAATAGTAAACTAGATAATTCTTATACTACTAAAAAGGAATTATTTAGTAAAAAAAATGAAATTGATAATTTAGATTGTTTTAATATTGATAAATTTGATTTAGAAAATAATTTTTGGGAAGATATTTTTTATGATAGTGAAAATGAGTCAGATTTATTTGAAGATGATAATTCAGAAGAATTAAATAGTGATTATTATAATAATAGTCAATATAGTGATAACCAATATAGTGATAATCAATATAGTGATAATCAATATAGTGATAATCAATATAGTGATAATCAATATAGTGATAATCAATATAGTAATAATCAATATAGTGATGATCAAGATATTGAAGAATAAAATATTAAAATTTTTAATAATTATAATTAAATTTAAAATTTAACAATATTTATTAATTTTAATTATTTAAAATTTAATAGATAAATAAATATAGAGTATAAATATAGAGTATAAAAATTAAAAAATATATAAAAAAAATTAAAAATAAAAAACCACAAAAAAAATTAAAATTATAAAATATAAAAAAAGATTAAAATTATAAAAATATACAAAAAAAAGATAAAATTATAAAAATATAAAAAAAATATTAAAAAATAAATATAAAAAAGATAAAAAATATTATAAATTTTTAAACTCTGGCTAAATTATTATAAATATTTTTAAAAATCAAATTGGTAAGCTTATGATTTTATATTTTATTTTTATTTATTAGAATAATTATTAATTTTTTTATTTATTTGATTTTTTAATTTTAATTATAAAAAATTTAGCAAAATCAGAATTAAAATTTTAAATGTTTAAATATTCAATATAAAATAATTAAGATTAAATAACTTTATGTTTAAATTTTATAAGAATTCTATGTAAATTTTCAACTATTTTTTATGTAGGCAAAATCTTTATAAGCACTTCTTATTTATAATAAATAAGATTTATAAGAAAAAACTAATTCGAACAAGAAAATTTATTTTCAATAATAAATTTTATATGGTTTTTTTTATTACAGCTATTATCTTAATTCCTGAACACCTGATAGAATAATTGTTTGGCCGATTCGGTTAAGTTAGTGGTTTCGGCATAAAAGCTATTATGTCGAATTATAACAATAATGTCAATGTTATTAAATTTTCGTTCCAACGCTTGTCCAACATGCTTGGTGTTTAATTTCAACCAATAAACCTTAGCAAGAAATCTAAAAAAGTGACTGGATATAAATTAGACTTTTATAACAAATATATTACACTAACAGGTGTCGCTATTAAAAAAGTTAATATGATCATGAATTTGTCGACTAAGTTTAAAAATGAATCTCGGGTTAGGATTTCAAGCGACCAAGATATTATTAATATTTGTCGAGATTACATGAAGAATTATCAAAGTAAAAAGCTTTATATGTTTATATTTATTTATATATTGAAAAATTTTAGTACTAACAATTAAAATTAGTTCAAAAATAGGATCAAAAATTAAATGAAAATATTGAAGTGGATTTAAGAATTAAAGATAGTCCATCTGAAGCAGATAGCTTAGAAGACTTGCTGACATCTAAGTGTTTGTCAATTTGCCGAACTGATAAGACTTCTAAATTTTTTTCAACGATTTGCCGCGAAGGTGCTTTGTAAATATCATTCTAGAGATAATCCCAAATTTTTTAAAAATAAATTTTTTGTCTTCGACAAGAAATGAAAAATAATTAGAAATAAATAAATGCCTTCGTTTGAACGAAAATGGATCTTTCCAAAGAATAGGAATCGAAACTTAATTCAATTTTTTAAAAACGAATGTTCATTGAAAATAAAAATGTATAAAGGCTTCGTTTAAACGAAAATAGATCTTACCGAAGAATAGGAATTATAACTTTGCACAATTTTTTAAAAATGAATTTTCATTGAAAATAATTAGAAATGAATTAAGGTTTCATTTGAATGAAAATGGATCTTGCCAAAGAATGGGAATTGAAATTTTACACAATTTTATAAAACCTAATTTTTCGTCTTCGAAAAAAATGAAAAACAATTAGAAATAAATAAAGGCTTCGTTCGTTTCATTTGAGCGAAAATGGATCGTACCAAAGAGTAGGAATTGAAATTTACAACTTACAAGTGCATGTCGATATTTAGTCTTATTGTAATATATATTAGTCATCTGATCTTATTAAATTACGTATCTGATATATTTGTTACTGAATCTTATTATTCCCGGAATCTATAACTTAACCGAATCGGCCGAAAAATCATTCGGCTAATTTTTATCAGGTGTTTCAGGAATTATGATAATAGCTGTAAATGCAAAATTAAAAAATTTGCAAACTTGTAATCCTATCCAGCGCGGGATTTTTGAAAAAACCGCGATTTGCCCATCTCTAGCGATAAATATAATATATCATTTAACATTTTTAATTTATACCTATCTGAGCTTGTTACTCTTTAGACTACATATATTATATAATATCAACATATATAGAATACCTATACTCAGTGTTGTACACGGGAAGTTGGGACGGATTTGGAACAAATTTAAGATTTTAAAAAAGTAACAATTATTTAAAATTTTACCAAGACAATCTTCTTTCAATTCTCAAGTAAAATTGTTTAAATTTAATTTTACATATTTTTTGAATAAAAAAATTATGTTAAGAAATTGTTGGGGCGAGATAGATCTAATTATATAATTTGACTACTGCTAATTCTATATTTCAATTATAAGATAAATTATAAGTTTATTTATGTATTTTATGTTTTGTAAGTGTTCTTAAAAGCTTATTATTATTATTTTTTTAAGAGATAGGGACGAAACGCTGGAATTTTTAATTTCCAATAGAAAAGAAAAAATTATTGTAGAAGTTGTTTTTAAGATATCTCATACTTTTTGCATTCCTCAACGATTGCCTTTTTTATAATTTTTGTCAGGATGCAAATGTTGTGTACTACAATACGTCAAGATAAAATAAAAATTTATATTTTAGCTTTAAAGCAAAGCTGATTTCGTAATAGAATATTCAAGAAGTACTGAACGTTACCTAGATCTTTTGATAACTGGATTTTTTTTTAATCATTTCAGCATTTTTTTTTTAAATTGAAACTGTATACAATTTTTGACAGAACGAAAATATCTTAACTCAGAACTCATTCATAAATAACTGATTAACTTATTGCTGTGGGCTTTGTTCTGCAGTCAATGTTGATACATAATTTTGTTGGAACATTTTATGTAAGGTTGGAAGCAAAGCTGGAAGCAAGATTTGATACATGGTTGGATGCAACGTCGTATGCAAAGATTAGAAACAAGGTTGGAAACAAAGGTTGGATGTAAAAAAGTAACTTGAACGAAAATACGCTGGAGTGAACACCGGAGGTTTTGGATAGAATGGCAAGTTTTCTGGTAAATTATTGATTGGTTGGTAACATGATAAAATTTAAAAATTACAGAAATTTACAACCCTGGATACAATTTTGGAACCAAGGTTGAATACAATGATGGAAGCATGTTTGGAAGCAAGAATGAAATGCAAGGTTGGAAGTAAGGTTGAAGCAAGGTTGGGATGCAAGGTTAGATACAATGATTCTAAATATAACTTATAATCTATAAAACCCAGAGCCAGTGGTCGTTAGAAGCAAAACTAGCTAGCAAAATTAGCTAGTAAATTTTGCAAATTTAGCAAAATAGCTTATTACAAAATTTATATTTGTCAATTATAAATTTTAATGTAGTCGTATGTTCTTCGATGAGTTCTTAATCTATCATCATTTACAACATGCATATAATTGCACGTTTATATAAATCAGTTTAAGAACAAAAGGAATAGTCGCATGCTTAGCAAATTTCGCATCTTAGCACAAACAATGTTGCTAGCTATTTTGCTAAAAAATAGCGCTATTTTAGATGCTACTAAAATCCACTGGCTCTGATAAAACCGTATTTTTGATAGTAGGACAGGTCATATTTTATTTTTACTTACAAATTAGTACATGAATACAGTGACCGTAATCAGGCGCAGGGATGGTAAAAGATCTGAAATGACCTCGTGACTCAAGTGAATAATGACTAATGACCGGTCATGTTAAAGAATGAAATGACTTCGTGACTCAAGTGAATAATGACTAATGACCGGTCATTTTAAAGAGTGAAATGACCTATTTGGGTCATTTGAAAAATGTTCCTGAAATAAGCTACTTTTTAAAGCAGTTTTGAATACAAAAAAGATGAAGAGTAGAGTAGCTTATTTTCGAGGTTTTTACTTTTAAAAAAATTTTGCTTGATTAAAGTAGCTTATTATCGGGTGTTTGTTTTTTTTAAAAAAAATTCTCATATATAGAGATTGGAATCGGTATAGTCGACTACTATGTTTAGTCGACTAAATATATTAGCTTACTATAAAATTTTTTAGTCGACTAAACCGATTCCAATCCTTACTAACTATTTGATTGGGGTTTGAAAATAGATATTAGGTATATACCAATCGATCAAGTTACCCAGGTCTTAGTCATAGCACAAAATGTTTTTTAAAACAAATAAGTTGCTACGGCTTCTACAAATCAAATAAAGAATTTGAAAACTAATATTATCTGGTAATGTGTGATCCCTTCAAAATAGGCAATTATTTTGCCTTCTTTTATAAAATCATTTTGGAGTTTTCAAGATATTGATGTTTGTTAGATTCATATGAGTAAGAACTTTGTATATAATACATTATTGAAAGAAGGAAATCTTATAAAAATATGGAGCAAATTTAAAAAAATCATTTTGTAGTATATAAATTGCAATTTTACTAATAAAGTTTTTTTTTAATATATAATAATCTTTTTTGTCAAATTTCCGGACTTCCATAACTCAGTTTAATATTAAGTTAACCAGTTTTAAATTTTGCACAAAATAAGCTTTGTGTTTCATAAGTTAGGATTTAGCAAAAATCTCAATTTGGTTTTGGGATCTCAGAACCATATTTTCAAGGCAAAGACTCTATTTTCTTATACTTGAGTAAGCCTGTCATTTTGTTTACTTCCTTCTTTGCCTTATATATATCTGATCTTTGCTGGTTCTTAATTGAAATCCAAGCCCCAAGAAAATGAGACAATTCCTTTAAACCCTTGGCCAGGATCTTTGTTTCTGGCCTATACAAATAGATTGTTCTTTATTTTTTTTCTTTCTGGTTTTGTTACTACTAACTCGGTCTTGTTTGGGTTTATTTTAATATCATTTAGTTCATAGAATTCAGTTGATTATGTTGATCATCTCTTGTATACTTTTTTAATTATGTGTTTTCTATATTGTGTTATCTGCATATGCTAATACTCCTATTCTTGGCTTTTCACTTTCAACTTTCTTGTTATTATCTTTTAGACTATCTTGCATTTTGTAGCCTAATTTTGCATCTTGTACTCTACAGAGAAGTGGGTCATAAAACATTCTCCAGACTAGTGATGCCACCAAAATTGGTTTTTAAAAAAGGTCTATTTTGTTTCCATTAGAGCAAATTAAATTTTTTTATAAGAAAGAGCAAATAAAATTTATATATTTATACTCCTTACAATTTCATCTATTTAAAAAAGTGTCAAAAAATTTCATCTTTTAAATAAAATATATCAAAAACAATTTTGTTTTCAAATTTTAATTTTAGGTTTTAGAATCCAAAATAATTTTATTGGCATGCATACTCCAGACCAAGAGTAACAAAACCTTCTCTTGATCTATTCTTTCTTTTGTTTTAAACAGATCTGTATTACTATATTCTGTTATAGTACTAAACCTTTTATTTTTATATAAATGCAGTATGAAGTCTGCTAGCTTTGGTGGAAGTTTAAGTCTTTTTAGAACTTTTCTCAATACATCCATGTTTACTGAGTCAAAGGCTTTCTTCATATCTTGGTATACAATTTACAGTTCTTTTTTTTTCTCTACAACTTTAATTATATTGTTATAATATGCACTGGGCTACTGTACTTTCTCCAGAAAGATCTGCAAAATTTGTACCTTTTAATATATTGTTTTTTCTTATAACTTTGTTTAATCTTTCTTGTACTTAGAGATGTTAATCGGTCCTTTGGAATCAAATTCTAGTCAGTCTGGTTTAGTCCTTCAAGGACCAGCAGGGATTTAATCCTTAAATCATGTAAGGACTATATAGAATTAGATTCCAGATCGATTTTTTGAATCCAGTTCCTTTAAAAATCCTAGGACCTGCTTTTATTAAACATTAAAACAGCTCTCTGCTTTTGGCATTAATCATCTCTGGTAAAGAATATTTTTTTTATAAGATATACACCTTAATTTTGAACCTTTGTGGCCCCAGTTTGAGTGTTTAGTAACACAAGATATGATTTTAAACTAACTTTTTAGAAGAAAAGCAAGATATTTAAGAAGTTAGCCATCTCTGGATTTAAATAAAATATAGATAATAAGTAAGTAAACTTATAGAAGTTAAATTACTAAATATTTTATACTAAAGAAAAATTTTCAACTAAACTCAGTTTGTTGAGCTATAAACCACCTTGTTATAATTTGGAAATTGAAGGCCAATATGCTTACTATCTTTCTTGCCAATGACAAAAGCAATATGCCTTAAAGAAGTTAATCTTCTCTAGCATTAAATATATAATAAAAAGTGAATTAAGCTAATAGAAGTTAAATAACTTATACTTGTTGATATTTGCTTTTAAATTTTCATGATAATAATTAAAGTATTCATTTTATCTTCTCGCTAATAACAAAGGCAATACATTTTAAAAAAGTTAATCTTCTCTAGTATTAAATAAATAATAAAAGATAAATTAAGCTAATAAAAGTTAACTAAGAAATATAGCTTATACTTTTGTATTTGTTTTTTTAAATTTCTGTGGTAATTTAAACATTTGATTTTTTTTATCATCTTATTAATGACAAAGGCGATATGCCTTAAAAACTTAATAATTAAATACAGTATATAATAAAAAGTGAATTAAACTTACAAAGTTAAATTACTATTTGTCTTTAAAATTTATGATAATAATTGAAGATTTGTTTTAAAATAACCTATTTCATAATGATAAAGACAAAGGTGGTATGCCTTAGAAAAGTTTATTAAAGATTTGTTTAATTTCATAATAATAAATAAAACAAAGCTATTATTATTATTATGTCTTGGAAAAGTTTATTAGATTCATTTAAGTAAGCCATTTTACAATGATAATAACAAAGGCAGTATGCCTTAAAAAGTTTATCAAAATAATAAAATAACAAAAATAAATATCCCATAGGATAGAAACAAAAGCTGTACATATTAGATACTAAATAGGTTGAATGATAAGATTAAATAGATTTCAGGCCAATAAAATATAAAATATAGTATGATTACTAAGATTAAAAGTGATGATTTGATTAGTGATCGTAAAATTGCTCATAAGGTGAATGTGTTTTAAATTTTTTATTTAAAAAGCCTCAAAAAAAAAATAAGCCTTAAAAAAATATTGAAAAAAAATCACAAAAAAAAAAAATAACAACAAGTGAATTTGAATCTCTTATAGAAACAGATCTATTTGAATTTGAATTAATAAACAAAGAATCTCATAGTTCTCCTAGTTTCCTTTCTGAAGAAACCTCTATGAGCAATGAAATTGCATCTACAGTATGTCTTCAGCTAACCCAAAAAAAAAACCACTGAAAAGCCCAAATTAAACATATACAAAACTGTGCATCTGTTAGAGATTACTTTAAAGAACTTGATATTGGAAGTAACGAATGCAAAGTATATAAACAAGCATTTGGAAACCAGACTGCAATATTAACAATCATTGGCATTTTGAAGCCTTCCACCCTTCTGAATATGCTATAATCAAACAGTGTAAATATCAACAACTCAATCCATAGTCCTAATGAAAAATATAAAGTAGATAATTTAAATAATAAATTTTTAAAATGGGTTATTGTCAACTAACAATTATTTTTATTATCTGAAAATGCAGAATTTATTAAATTTCTGCAAGAACTTGACCCCTATTACCATCTTCCTGTTACCAAATACTTTCAAATTGGGTTGGTCAAAAGTATAATAAAGATAAAGATAAAATTAAATTTTTTTTAAATAGAATACAATCAAAAATTTCAATTACTATGAATAGTTGAATGTTGTGTATTTAGCAGCCCTATATTGGTGTAACTACACACTGAATAGATTCTAAATAAAAAATGCATCAAATTTTACTTAACATAATTCTGTTTAATGAAATACATACTGCAACCAACCAGGCCAACACTATTATTGAACTTCTAAAGGAAGTAGGCATTGGGCAAAAACTTCTAGGAGTCACAACCAATAATGCCACCAATATGCTTGTAATGGGGCATGTTCTAAAAGAAAAATAAATAATAAATTTAGTAACCCAAATATGCAACATTTTCATTGTAGTGCTTATGTTCTCAATATTATTGTAGAAGAAAAAATAAAATCAATAAGCAAAGAAATCTCCAAGGCAAGAAATTTCTCTAAAAAACTTTGAAACTCTCCATTGCTAATTAAAGAATTAAAAAAAAATTTTGAGTTAAAAAACATTCTATTTTTAATGCCTAAAATTAATGTGAATACGAGATGGAATAGCATATACATAATGTTAGAAAAACTTAAACAAATCTATCTCATAACTGATATTCTTGTAGCAAGCAACCAAAATTTAAAACCAAATTATTCAACCGAATGTGGATGGAAAATTGTTTTTGTAAGTAATACTAATTTTTTTTAAAAAATTATAAAATACACCTGTTTTAATTATGTGTTAATATTATAGAACCTGCTAATTCTTCTAGCCCATGTATTATACAACTATAATGCTGTCTTCATCTATACTTTTTACTCAAGATGACTTGTACATAATATTCTGCGGGCTTATTATATACTTAAATAAAAATGAAAATTCTAAGATTAATTCACAATATGCCGTAGCTAGTACAATGAAAGAAAAATTTATATTGTATTGGGCTTATCTAAATGAATCTTCAACAATCTTTGGTTTTCTTGATTCCTGCAATAAACTTTCAACTTTTGATATTTATGAATATAAACAAGCTATTAATAAACTTCATGAATTGTATAAAAAGTATAAACCAACTGAAGAAAATAATCCACTTCTAAAGCAACATGCGTACTTTTTCATAATCTTATCCATAGCCACTAGGCTAACTTGAATCAAATGTGAAATTGACAAGTATTTAGCCAAAATTGAAACTGAGACAGAGTTACTTCTTTGGTAGAGGGCAAATGCTACTTCATCGAAGTTTAAAAAAAAAAAAAAAAAATTATTTTCCTCTTATCCAAAGCAATGACTTTAGTTAGATAAACTAGAAATATTTTAATATTTGCGTATTAATCTAATACAATTAAATCGATTATATTCGGATCAACATCATAACTCTTCCTGACGATCATTTAAACCAAAAATCTGATTAAATAAAAAACAAAATTTTTGTTGGAGAGACGTAGCTATGAAGTAGTTTATTTAAAGGTTAATGTATTTGCTAGCAGGACTCCTCTATTAGTTGACATTTGGCATGCAAGCCAAGAGTATTATTATACAATATAACTGGCAGGTAGTGCTCTTGTATGAAAAATCTTGGTGGTGTTTGGGGTTGGCCCCATCTCTGTCAATGAAGCTATCTAGCTGTTATTTCAAAGAAGAACACAGGAGAAACAACAAAACTTGCGTTTTTTGAAGCCGCACTCCTTTACTTGGTTAAGTGATACCCTTTTTACCTTCTCTCGTTTTTTCTGTCAGTTTTTCAAATTTTTTGAAAAAAGTGGGGATTTGGCTTATCTTCTCCAAAAGATCAGCATTGTTTACATTCCAAATTCGGATGGACTCAGTAAAATACAACCACGTGATATGTTTATTTACGGATACGGTGCTACCTCATAGGAGTCAGATTGGGACCTGGTTAATGAGATATTCGAAGTTGGTTGGTTAGTCAGAAAGGAAAATATATGTTAAGGCAAAGCTTTACAATAGAGATATACAACTGTTGTATTTGTTATATAATTTTTTAGCCTTGCACAGGCATTCTGGTTATGTAGAGAGATGAAATTCCTCTCGAATTGTTATCTTTTTTCTATAAAACGTTTTTTTTATTTTTCCTGTTTTTTCTTTTTTTGGGTTTTTTTTATTTTTATATTTCATTTATTTCCCCTATTCCTCCTTTTTAGTCATAGATCATTTTCTTTTTTTATAGATTTTTTTGATAAAATAATTCTGGTTTGTCTGCGAACTGGTGCAACAGGTTGCATTTAGGACTGTAAGGTAATCAAGTGAAGTTGGACTTTGAGTTCTATAAATTAAATGTATTTAGTTTTTATACACATTTTAATAAAAAGCAAGCTACAGCAAAACCCGTAAAGATTAAAAAAATAAAAAATAAAAATAAAAAAATACAATCAAAATATTAGATATAAAAAACTAAAGAATATTAAAATTTTTAGAAAGTCTCACTTATTCTATACTTTAAACTTAATTATTTTGAAATTTATAGACTTAAGTATACTTATATATATAATAAAAATAGTTTTTAGGGTTAATTTAAAGCAAATAAAAGTTTTTAATAAAACTTTTCAGAAAATCAATCATAAGTCTAAGTTTAACATATATTGCTATCTTGCAAATTATTTATTTTATTTAAATTTAGTGTCAAATTATCTATAAAATTTTAATATAATTTTACTTTATTTAAACTAATTCAAACTAAATTATTATAATTTTAATAAAATATTTTAAATAAAAACTTTGCAGAATTATTGATATATCGAAGTTATTTAATATAATTTTATATAAATAATCATATTTTAAAATAAATTAAAAACTAATTTTTTGTTTTCATATAAATCAAATTAATTCAAATTATTTTTAATTTACTTAATAAGTTTTTGGTACTCATTCTATTATATTTTTTAGTTTTAATTATTTAAGTATATTAAATCGCACAAGTATGAATTTTGTTAATTTATAGTATTTTTATTGATATTATAATAATTTAATTAAAGTTTTTTGTGAAGTTCTATGCACTATAGTTTTTTTGTTTTTTTAGGCTCAATTAAATTGCAACTATGCAAATTTCGTAGAATAAGTTTTATTTGTCTCACAATTGTTAAGTTAAAATAGTAAAGATTTTATTTTTAAAAGTATAATTTTAACCCCTTACATATTTATTACTTTAGATTAAATAAAATTTGTTTATTTAAAATTTTGATTACAATGGCATACAATGGCCAATTGATGATCAAAGAGGTATCTTTAATCAGTACAAAATTCTTAGTAAGTTAGGAATCCTAAGAGAGATAAACAGTTGTTATGGCAGGTCACAT